ATTTACTGTATATTTTTCAGAGGTTCAAGGAAATACAGCTTTTTATATAAAATGACTATGCTTATCCAATCTATTTTGTCTCTAATTGGATATTAATCTATCTATAAAAGTTTCCAAAAATCTTTGACAAATTTATGCTTTGCTCATTAATAACAAGCTGTTTCAAATGTGTTTACCTTGAAGCTCTAGCAAGAGACAATAATCACTAAGGTTAAGAAGCATTATTTTTGTCTACTCAGAACCTGACATTTACATAATTTAATTAATTAGTGACTCAGGCAAAGAAAACACTCGGGTATTTCTCTGGATGTAACAGCTCTTGTGAATATTATGCAATGTGTTTGAAAATATTTACGTGTAATAGTTTTTTTTCCTATGGTGCTGTCCAGTAAGGATATTTCTAATTATTCAGTAAAACAGAATAAAAAGAATAAGATTTTGAAAAACTAACACATTGGAATTGGACAAAACAAAAGTAAAAAAAGGGAAAGAGCCCAAGCCAACGCACAATAAACAGAGACCCACTCATTCACTCACTTAGGAACCCCCTAAAATAACACTAAACTAGACACCATAATTTTTATACAAAGTACTTACAGTGTAATATATGACTATATATGTGAGTGTGTGTATACATGTGTGTGTGCGCGTGCGCGCATGTATAAATATATGTTTCAGATAAGAATGAAAATAATAAGATAAAAATTAAAAAGAAGAGCCCTGACATGACATTATGAGGTAAGGAACCTCTAATGATGCTGTTGAGTTCATTTCCCATTGGCCATCTATGGCTGGGCATGCAGCCTACACTTAAGAGTAGTTTGTTTCCCCTGTGAGCCCCCTTAGAAGAAACTAGATTTTCATTTCAGAGTCTCTATCAATTGGAGATTGCTACTGGGTTAGAGATTGGGGAATGTGACCATTTTTCCTTTTGGTTTTAGACCCCCAGCTGGTGCAGACCAATGCAGGCCTTGTGCATGCTGCCTCAGTCTCTTGATCATTCATATGAGCTTTGATCATGTTGATTTAGAGAGTCTTGTTTTCTTGGTGTTTTCCATGCTCTCTGGCTCTTACACTCTTTTTGCTTCCTCTTCTGAACATTCTGAGACTCCTGAGGAAAGGGATTTGATGAAGACATCCTATTTAGGACTGAGTGTTCCAAGATCTCTAACTATCTGCATAATGTATGGTGGTGGGTCTCTGTTCACATCTGTGTTTGTTATCATTTGCTGTAGGCAGAATCTTCACTGATGACAACTGAGCACTGATCTGTTAGTATAGCACAATGTCATTACAAGTCATTTTAGTGCTACATTTTTTGAACAATAGTATTTGGTTTTACCCTATGTCTCTGGGCTATCTAGTCTCAGGTTCTTGGTTACTCAAGGAGTGTTGGATATGATTTCATTTTGTGGCTTGGGCCTTCAGTCAAATCAGATAATGCCTGGTAACTGCCACATTTTTTTGGTATTTTGAGACAGGGTTTTTCTTTGGCTTTGGATGATATCCTGGAACTAGCGCTTGTAGACAAGGCTTGTCTCAAACTCACAGAGATCTCCCTGCCTCTGCCTCCCAAGTGCTGGGATTAAAGGCCTATGCCACCAACACCAGGCTACTTCCACATATTTTGTGCCAAATTTAACTAGCATATCTTGCAGCAGGACACCATTACAGATCTAAGGGTTTAACTATGGTTTAGTGTTTACATTTGTCCTTTATAGTGTGCAGAGTACCTTCCTGTAACAAAGGCACTAACATGTAGGGGTGAATGCTATATGTAGGCAGAAGCTTGACTTATCCATATTCAGTGTGTAGGTGTTGTCTTTAAGAATGAAGTTTGGCTGTCAGTTTGTTGGAGGCAACCTATATTCTTGGCAACATCCTGGCTAGTTTCGGGATTCCCAAGAAACCCCTTTGGCCAACAACTTAATTTGATATACCCCAATCTCTATATTGGAAGATTCATTTAGCAATGAGAGATCACTATTTGGGCTCTGTCTCCCCATTTGTTTGGTGATTTCATTTAGATTGCCTTCATATATGAATATATTTTAGGAAGCTTATACTGTATTCTGTTTCCATATTACTCTTCAAATGGCCCTTAATTTCAGTTGTCTCTCCCTGTATTCCCTTCCCTGTGTCTCTCTTTCCTCCAGCTTCCACCAGATCCTCCATTCCCTACCTCCTCTATATCTATCCATAGCTATCTATTCTATTTTCCTTTCCTAGGAAGTGCTATCAGCCCCTCCTAGTCCCTTAATCTATACCAAATCTTTGTGGTTCTATGGATTGTAGCTTGGTTATCATTGACTTAAGAGCTAATATCCACATAGAAGTGAATACATCCAATATTTGCCCTTCTGAGTCTGGGTTACTACACCGAGGAAGATTTTCTTTTCTACTTCCACCCATTCAGTAAGGATAGTTAATAGCTATTTTTGTGTATGTGACTGGACTAAGAATCTCAGATATCTGTTAAAACATTATACCTAGAGGCTGCAGATAGATCTTGGTGGTAGAGTGTTTACCTAGCTTATATGAGACTAGAGGTCTAGTCCCCTGCAGCAATAAATAAACAAGCATTACTGCTAGGTCTGTTGGTGTAATAGTAGAGATTGCAGAAGACAATAATATTTGAAATAGCAGAGTGAGTAAATAAGATCTGCCCTATCCAAAGTGAGTAGGTGTTATTAATCTCGTCAGAGCCCCCAAGAGAACAAAAATACTGGAAAAAGACAAATGTGTTTTCTGTTTTAGAGTTGACACATCCATCTCCTGCCTTAATACACTGAAACCCTGGTTCTTGAGACTGGGACTCAGATCATCAGGCATCCCTTAGGATATCAGTTAGTTTAAGGGTGAATTATATTACTAACTTCCCTTGTTCTCCAGCTTGTAGATGATGCATTAAAAAATTCCTAGCATCCACAGTCACACATGCCAATCCCTATAATAAATATCCTCTTTAATTTCTATGTATAATCTATTGATTTCATTTCTCTAGACAACCTTGGTGGATACAGATATTTCTTGGCATTATCAATTTTGTTAATTCCATTCTTACTATTTTCCATTTTCTTTTTTGTATATTTCCTCAGTAATCCCCACAACAACCCCTTAATACAGCTTCTATAATGACTACCTTCATTTAAGTACTTTAGAGAAAAACTGAAGGAGCCTGCATGATTCACCCAGGTCTAATATTAGTAACTTTTGACTCAAAAACAAATTCATCCAACATTCCATGGAGGAACAAAAGTGCAAGGAGTGAGATATCATTAAGCTCACAGCAGCCTACTGTGATTAGAGCCTTATGAATAAGGTATTAGTGATACAGAGAATGGGTATAAGAGGCGTGGGCTACTTTCTGGAACTCATTATATACCAGGAGCAATACCAGGAGCAAAAGGAAAATGCATTCCTAAGATCTAAGTTTACTAGCTATTTAACAATCGACATTTGACATCATACAATTTATGGAACTCATTATGAACCTCGGGAAATATTTGGGAGGTTTAGGGGCTTAAATAGGCTTAGAAAGCCATTAGTCTGTGTGACAGCATAATCTCTGTAAGGATACCCACAAAAATACACATATTAGGAGAGGGGAGGTTATGATACAGGTGAAACTTCTGTATCAGTGAAGAGCAAACTTTCACTTTAAAACTTAAGAAATAAATTATTATAAATATAAGTCATGACCACGAGAATCAGTTCCAAATGTAAGATCCCTTTACATACAAATCAACGAATAGTAGAGAAATTGCAGTGTAGATCTGATATGGATAATCTGTGGTGCAATTGTCTGCTAATTCATTTGTATATTTTTTCTTTTGAAACTCTCTGTAGTTCTATGATAAAATGCCAGTTCTATATTCTAATTGAAGAAATTGAATCTTTAAGATTAAATTAGTTTTTCAGGTGAATTTTAAGAGGAATAGTGAATATTTGAATCCTTCTTGGTCTAACCTATAGTTTATGCTATTTAGTATTCCTACAAAGGACCAGAAGAGAGATGTGTATACATTAGCAGGAATGAGAACTCTTGAATCTTGAATTGGGAAACTCAGAATTCAGTATTATAGTATGGAAAGCAGTATTTCAGAACTATTGGTATTGTAAACACACCCATTTACTCACTTGAATCATCTGCATTGTCAATTATCCTACTTTGTCAAATAGGAGGTTCTCATCCTACTAACTCCACATTTCAATGCATAGGCTACATCTTGCTACCAATCCGAGTTAGAAAATCAAATAGAATTTGAAAGTAAAGTTTCCTCTCTTTTAAGTCATAAAACATATTCTTAAAGCAAGTAAAATGATTTATTGTTATCCAAGGTCATTCCATTCCCCCACTAGATGGAACAATCTCCACTTGACTGCAGTCACATTCATATAGCCTGAGTGATATTTAGTGTGGAGTCTGTGCTATTATTTTTTCTCCATCTCATGTTAAAGTGATCATTTAAAAAATGACAGTGTAAACCAAATTGCAAAGAGATAATTAAGGGACTGAAGAGAATTATTTTCCAGCATGTTAGGCAAACTGTTACACTCTGCATACTAATTGCAACTCGTTCTTAAACAGTCATTTAGGTAGTTTCCCTAAGAAGATATAATTGTACCATTTTTAGATACTGAGCACAAATAATCAACACTTTTATCAATGCTCTGTTACTCGCAGTTTTCCAAGTCAGAGTCCTGTACATAACAATCTGCTAGGTGAAATGAGTATTTAGTGAATGCTTATTCATGAAGTTGAATGAATTTCAAACACATTTGGCATATCAAGGATACATGCTTTCTCTTCTTAAGGAGAAATTCTGCTTAAAGATCATTCTGAATACCCTTGCCTGACCATGAACACTTCAATGTCTGGAAAATTCTCCCAGTGTCTGTAAACAATTCTTATCCCTTTATTGAGTGCTTTGTGTTTCCTTAGTTGATCATTATTTCATCATCCATTTATGTTGTAAAAGTAGAGAAAGAACACTTACAGCAAATACACCCAGCCTGGAATGAATCCATGTGTCATCCATGTTCAGCTTGGTTTCCCAAGAAATTGAGCTTTAGTGTGTTAAACCCCATAGCATTTAGGCTTAGCTGAACTAATCTTCTCCAGTTAGTTCAGTCTATTACACCTAGAGTTCTGTAGTTACCTGTGGAGTAAGAGAGAGCAAGTCCTGGTTATCTATAATGTTTGTTTCATACAACACTTTTATTTATGTATTTATTTATTTAGATTTGCATTTAAGCCCAAATTTCTTACAGCATACAGTTGTCTAATCTTAGAGGTGGTAGCATTATTTTAACATTGGAAAACTAAGAAGCATTTGGGCAGACAGTTTTAGGGCCTTTACATTCACACACAAAAGCTATCCTACCCAAAGTCTCTGGCAATCAGAGGCAATCCCTTCAATCTTCAGAATATTAATCTAAATAGATTTGTCAAGAGGAAGATTGTTTTGCTTTGTTTCCCATTTTTCAGAGAAAATGTATTGGCAATTTTCCCCTTCAGGACTAGGATAACACACTAATCAGCATATTTATATAATCCAATCACATATTGAAATAGAAGCTGGATATTAAAATAATAGAGATTACTTATTGGGAAGGAGGCTAATTTTCAGAAATTGGTGGTTCTTATCAGACTGAAATTTTAGAGCTCTTATTAAGATAAAAGAATTTAGATATTGTATCCATATCGCCTTTAGTTGGGTACTCATTTGGTTATTTGTGCATGGCACTGTGCTAGGTACTATGGAGAACGGTGCTAAACAGATCTTTTCATACTCCCTTCAGAATCAGCATTCCCCAAACCTTAATTCAAGTACTCCAACATAATGATTTTATTAACTTCCCTCAAAGCTCTATTGGTTCTATTTGTTCTCTTCCTCTGGGCTAAAGAAAGATTTCTTTAAGAAATGAACTAAAATCCAGTTGCAGAGAAGGAGGACTGATGAGCAAAGGGATCCATACTAGGCTGGTGAAACCCACAGAAACAGCTGACCTGAACAAGGGAGAGCTCTTGGTCCCCAGACTGATAGCTAGGAAACCAGCATGGGCCTGGTCCAGACCCCTGAATGTGGGTGTCAGTGAGGAGACCTTGGAAATATATCAGACCCCTTGTAGTGGTTTAGTACTTATCCCTAGCATAGGAATGGACTTTGGGAGCTCATCCCACATGGAGGGATACTCTCTGAGTCTAGACACAAGGGAGTTGGCCTAGGCCCTATCCCAAAGACTATGACAGACTTTCAAGACCCCCTATGGAAGGCTTCACCTTCCCTGAGGAGCAGAAAGGGTATGGGATAGGTAGGGTGTTAATGGGGGGTGGCAAGGGAGGAGGGGAAGAAGAGGGACCTGAGATTGACATGTAAAACAATTTTCTTTCTAATTAAAATAAAAAGAATTCCAGCCCATGGAAAGAATGAAGTAGTCAACTTCTGTTCATGGCAATCCTGAAACAGAGTTGGTCTGCAGCTAGCTCCTAGTTATTCTTTCTGTACTTAGTCTGTCTTCTAAATCCAAACCTCCTCACCAAAAGTTTTACATTTCATTCTGTCCTTCCCCTCATACCCAGAAATGACTATGTTTCAGTTTCATCTATTCTCTGGCCTTTCTGCCTCCCTGGATATTCAAACTCACGAAAGCTCTTGATAATCAAATTGCTTTTATTAGTGTGAATGAGTCAGGGTTCTTCAAGCCAGAAAATGATGAAAATTACTTCTCTCATCTGCAAATCATTGGATTTGAAAGGACAAACCAAATAGGCTCTACTTTGTTTACACACAGATGCTCAACAAAGACCAAATGTTATTAAATTAATTTCGTTAATATGCCTAAACTACTGCTCTCTCAGATGGTATTCTGTTCATTTTTGTTGAAGCATGGTATCTCGAGATGTTCAGGTTTATCAGTCTGCTTTATTGTTTATTCTCAGCTTCCATATACAAGTATACATTGTATTTTGAGACTATTGATCTTCATACTACTTTACCCCTTTGTCATCTCATCCCATGAGTATCTTTTATCCCACAGATTTACTATTTTATGTCATATATACAATAATTTATATATAATTTATCTGTATATAATGTCTATGAACCAAAAATTACATGAAACATGGCATTTATTCATCCTAGAGTGGTGTAATTAACTTCACATAACTAGATACAGTTGTATCCACTTTCCTAGAAATAACACAACTGCTCTTTTTTCAGATTTTTTATTTGAATTAGAAACAAGATTGTTTTACATGACAATCCCAGTTCCCTTCTCCCTCCTTTCCCCCCACCACTCCCCCCCAACTAAAACCCTACCTATCACATTAGCCTTTCTGCTCCCCCTGGATGGTGAGGCCTTCCATAGGGTGTCATCAGAGTCTATCGTATCCTTTGGGATAGAGCCTAGGCCCACCCCCGTGTGTCTTGGTTTAGGGAGTATCCTGCTCTTTATAGCTGAAGGTCACTTTATTGCATATATATACACATTGTTTGTACTGTCATCTATCTATCATTAGGCATCTAGGTTGATTTCATAGTTTATGTATTGTGAATAGTGTTGCAATTAACATTGGTGAGCAGATAAATTTAGGATGTTGCTTGAACTCCTTTGGATGAAATAAAAAGGAATTACCATAGCTGATGTACCTGGGACATATGGACAATCTATTGGTAGATTTTGAGAAAGCCTTAATCTAGTTTTCACATTGGCTGGATTAGTATACAGCCTTTCAGACAAATGTAAGAGTTGTTTGTCTAAATATGTACCCATATTAGATTTTTTGTTTTATTTTTAAATTATTTTTAAAATTTTAATTAAATTTTATTTGTGTGTGTGTGTGTGTGTGTGTGTGTGTGTGTGTGCACCTGTAACTTTAAGCCAGAGGAAAACTGGCAGTGTCAATTCTCTCCTGTATGTCCCAGAAAGAAGTTGAGAAGTTCTGAGATCATATTCGAGTCTTCAGGATTGACAACAAGGGCCTTTACACACTGAGCTATCTCTCCAGCTCACATATGTTATTTTAAATTGTGAAGGAATTACTGCCAACTCAATACAGTATAATACTATTCTATACCCTGTTTTCTGATTACCCACCATCTACATCATGGACAAGCTCCTTCCTCCCTGCTCCAACTCCTTTCATGTCTCCTCAGATTTGAAGTATCTCTTTAAATTGTTACTGCTACATATATGTGGATTGTGTAAAACTTACCTAGTCCTGTACATACACACACACACACACACACACAGTTGAACTATGCTAAATTTGCTCAATTCTTAAATGTCTGCTACCTTTCTCTCAACACTATCTCTGTATTCTTCAACTACATTGTTGTGTGCTATTGTAGCCTTCTGATCAGAGTAATATGCATTTTTAATGCAGTTGTAATTTGTGTTTCTTTTCTGTTCAGGGACATTGGCCATTTTTATATGCCCATTGGTCATTTGTATTTCATTTTTGAAATTGTTTAAACAATTTGTTGATTGCTTTATTTGATTTCTTGTTCATTTGCTTTTTGTTTTTGAGCCTTTATGTATTGTAAATATTCTCTGTTAAGGTATATAGTTTGCAGATGATTTCTTTCCCTTTGTAGGCTGTCTCTTCAGTTGATGAACTGTTTCTTTTTCTGTTTAGGAGGTTTTAAAATTGCATTGTTGGCTATTGGTTTTATTTCCTGAATGACTGGGATGTCTTTGTTTGTTTTGGTTTTGGTTTTGAGACAGAGTTTCTCTATAGCATTGGAGGCTGTCCTGGAACTCACTCAGAAGATGAGGCTTGCCTGGAACTCACAGAGATATTCCTGTCTCCACCACCCTAGTGCTGGGATTAAAGGTGTGTGCCACCACTGCCTACCAGAATTACTGGGATCTTGATGAGAAATCCATTGCTCTTGCCTACATCTTGAAATATTGTCCCTTCTTTTTCAGTTTTAGAGTTTGGGGTCTTTTGAAGTCATTGATTCCTTTGAAGCCTATTTCTATGGACACTGAGATATAGGAGCCTGCTTTCATTATTTTTATGTATGGATAGCAAAGTCTTCTAAAACCATTTGTTTGGTAGGCTGAAATTTTTCCACTCATCTGGAGACATCTTTGTTAAGAATAAGGCAGGTGTAGCTACATGAGGTTATAACTGAGTATTGCATTATGGCCTATTGGTCTAATTATCTACTTTTGTACCAGTACCAAGTTATTTTTGTTACTAGAATGTGGAAGTGTAGCTTAAAGAATGATGATATTTCCATCTTCATTTTGTTTACTTGTTATTGCTTTGTCTGTCTGTGGTCTTTTGTACTTTCATATGAATTGTAAGATTGCTGTGTCTTTGCTGTGAAGAATTGTATTATTTTTTAATCAGGATTCCATTAAGCTTGTAGATTTATTTTAATAGCATAGCCATCTTCCTATATTAATTTCTCCAGTCCACGAACATCAGAGATCTTTCCATCTACTAATCTCTTCTTCAATTTCTTTCTTCCATACTTTAATGTTATCAATGTATAGGTCCTTCAGTTAGTTGATTAGGTTTATTAAAAATATTCTATTATATTAGAGGCAATTGTGAATGAGATTTTTGCTGACTTCTTTCTGAGTACATATTTTGTTGGCATATGGGAAGACTATAGAGTTTGGTATGTTAACTGTGACTGTGATGAAAATGTTTAGGGACTTTTAAGAGTTTTCTGATAGACTTTTTCAGGTCTCTTCAGTATGGAATCATATTATCTGGAATAAGAATACTTTGGAATTTTCCTTTATTTTTTTACTTCAGTTCTATTATTTTTCCCATCTTGTCTTATTGCTCTAGCTATGACTCAAGAAATATATTGAATAGAAATGGAGAAAACCTGATACTTTTCATGTTTCTGATTTTAATAGAAGTGCTTTGATATTTTCCTACTTAATACATTATTGCATTATATTTTTCATATTGTAGATTATAGTTTTTTGAGTTATGTTCCCTCCATTCTTACTCTGCTCATGACCTTAATCATGAAAAGAAGTGGGGTTTTGTCAAGTGTCTTTTATATATCTATGGTGGAAATCGTGTTATTTCAGGCATTTAGTCCACTTATATGATGTATCACATTTGCTGATTTGCTACATAGAGCCATTCTGCATGTTTAGAAAAAAAACCACTCAGTCACAGTGA